CTAATCAGTCGTCCCACAGCCCGATCAATTCATCCGCCCCTGATTTCCCAGTAGGGAAACTAAGGCACTACCACTCGCCTGTGAGATCGTGATGGAGCCAGGAATGAGCCGTGTTTACCAGCCCCAGCCTGCTTGTCCCAGATTTGGCCACCAGCAAGACGTGAGCAGAGAGGAGAGCAAGGGGGGACCCCGGGGCCTTATGCTGCTCTCCAAAAAACCACCCAAACCCAGGTGGATTTTACCGTGGCACCATGAGTCATTGGTGGCAGCAGCTTTCTCCATATTGCGAGTTTTACCTTGATTTCACCTTCAGATTTAGCTTTTGTTCAACGTGAGGTATTTGCCATGGGTATATTTAGCTGTTGCTGCACACAACTGGCCCGTGCTGCTTCTTGGCGTTCAGGCAGGTGCTGTTTAATTAGGACAGCACCTCATTACCAGTTTGTGCTCTCATTCAGCCAAGATTAGTGGGCGTAAAGATGAAAAGGGGGATATGCCACCAGTGGGTATAAATAGATGGATCTGGTTATTATTATTTATTGCTTGGGAGTGCTCTCATCCCCGGCCACGTGCAGTACAAGCCAGGGAAGATCAGAAGATGTCCCCAACTTTGGCTTTCTGGGCTCGGGGGCTCCCTATTTGGCCCCACTGTGTCACGCTGCATGTCCCACAGCCTCCTGGGGCTGCCACAGAGGTCCTTCCCGGGGACAGTGGCATGATGGCATCTCTCCCTCACTCTTTGCAGGTGCTGAAGGGCTTCCCCGACTGCCTGCAGGCAGACATCTGCCTCCACCTCAACCGCACGCTGCTCCAGAACTGCAAGGCTTTCCGAGGAGCCAGCAAAGGCTGCCTGCGTGCCCTGGCCATGAAGTTCAAGACAACTCATGCACCGCCCGGAGACACCCTGGTGCACTATGGAGATGTCCTCACCACGCTCTACTTCATCTCACGAGGCTCCATCGAGATCCTCCGGGAAGACATTGTGGTGGCCATCTTAGGTGGAAAAGTCTTCTCTTCTGGAAGGGCAAGGGGTGATGGGTGACGGGCAAAGGGTGATGGGCAATGAGCAGTGGACAAAGGGTGGCAGGTGAGGGGCGAAGGACTTCTCCATGTCCTGGAGAAGGGAAGGCTGTTCCTCAACATCTGGCTGGTCACCACACCACTGGACAAGGAATGGAGGAACCCCAGTAGATGTCAGGGAGAGGCCACAAAGGAGTGAGGAGAGCAAGGCATGGCTCAGCAGTCCCCAGCCATCACTGATGACCCACTGCCCTGGCTTGGTCTCCCCATCAATGTTGGCTTTCACAGTGTAATCCCCAGCCTCCACAATCAGGGTTGGGGTTGCTGGACATCCCCTTGTTCATGAGCCCCAAAGTGAGGTCTGCTGGTCCAGTACATCTGGAGCTGGAGTGGGTGCCCACCTCCCCCCTAACTGAGTTGTCTCTTGGCATAGGGAAGAATGACATCTTTGGGGAGCCCATCAGCCTCTACGCCCGCCCAGGGAAGTCCAACGCTGACGTGAGGGCCCTGACCTACTGTGACTTACACAAGATCCAGCGGGAGGACTTGCTCGAGGTCTTGGACATGTACCCAGCCTTCTCTGATAACTTCTGGAGCAACTTAGAGATCACCTTCAATCTGCGAGATGTGAGTGCCAGGGCTGTTCCAGGGAGGGATGTGGTCAATGCCTTAAATTTGGCACGTGGGAGGGCTGAAGCAAGGATGTCAACAGGTGTTCTTCACTCAGTTTGGTGGTGGATTGGCCAACAGCCACATTTCCCAAGGCACGCTCCCTGGGGTTATGATTTCCCCCACAGCCCAGAGCCCAGCAGGCACGTGCATACTGCACGTTCCTGAGCTCTTCGGAAAAGTTGGCCCCACAAGCCAGTAGTACATTGCTGTGCAGCACTTGTAAATCACCTCCAGAACTGCTCCTCCTAGGCAAGTGGGTCACACATGTTTTGAGGCTGCTGAAGTAAGAAATATTCTCATGCTTCATTGAGTTGGGTACCAGCGTCCTCTGAAAATTCCTTTTGAAATAATCAGGTTTGTAATCCGTGAAAGGCTTGGAGCATTTTTGTCATTGCTGTTTGACTCTTAAACTTTATGACTGGACTTTGTTCTTTCCTGGCATTTTTTTCAGAGACACTTGCCTGGTAAGACAGAAAAGAAAGTCAAATTCCCTCTATGTCCCACCCCAGGATGTCCTACCCAACCTCAGGGTACTCCTTCCCTCCCCATGGCCCTGACACCCTCAACTCGGTCTCAGAGCAACAAGGCCAGCCTTTAGGATCCCTTCAGCTCTGCAACCAGTCCAGGAGTCACTAGGTGGGACAGGGCAGTGATGGAGAGCCAGGGGTAGCTGGAGACCAGCCCTAGGAGGATGCTGAATGAGCTGTAGCCCCCAGGGCCATGGCACCCACGAATGAGACGTGGCACCTATGGATGGGCCGTGGCATCCATGGATGGGCCTTGGTACCCATGGATGAGACATGGCACACATGGATGGGTGGTGGTACTCATGGATGGAACATGGCACCCTTTCCCTGGTGACCAGCCCCTCTCATCCCTCAGGCAGACAGTGTTCCCCGCTCACCACTCAGCGAGGAGTACGACTGCACCTACCGGCGGGCACGCCGACGCAAGCACTCCCTTTGCCAGCCCAACAAGCCTGGTGAGTCCCACAGCATCAGCAGAGCTGGGCTTGCAGGGCTGGGGAGCGGGATCATCATGTAATTACTGCCCTGGCAGGCGCCCCAAGGCAGAGGCAGCTGTCTGTGCCTCCATTCCTGCAGACCAGCCTGTATGTCCCCACCCCGGGGGTACCCACGCTGCCTTCCCTCCCTCCCTCTCCATAGGATGCCCCAGCCCTACAAGCACCCTAGAGGGGATGGAGGCTGATTTTGCCATGCGTGTTACTCCCCAAATTAACCTGTTGTGCTGCCCCACAGACCCAGACACGGGCATCTCTGATGCAGAGCAGTATCACACCTACTCAGAGCTCACCAACCCGCAGGACCCGCTGAGTAAGGACCGGTGGGACGACCTGGGCAGCAGCACCACTCCCTGCTCCCAGACCAGTGACGATGAGGCCAAGACTGGCAGCCCTGCGAAAGCTGAGCCCTTCCCCACATCCAAAAAGGATGACTTTGCTCTGCCCACGCTCAGCCTCATCACTACCAGCGCTGGCGGCACAGAGGTCGGCAGGCAGGCGGCGGAGAGCAGCCAGTCCTACGCAGGTACCCACATCTGCAGCCAAAGCTGGCAGGAAGGTGGTGAGAGATGCTGGGCATAGTGGCCTTGTCTTGGGGCAGAGCCAAGCAACTCATGCAGATTTGAGGGGAGCCATGCTTGTGGCCAAAGATCTTTGCTGCCTTTTGTTCCCAGTAGTATCTGCTCTATCCCTCCCATGCCCTGCAGTTTCTCCAGGGAGAAACAGGTCCCCAGGTCCCCAGGGACCCCTTTGGGGCTACCTCAAGGGGCCAAATGCTATGTGCCTTCCATAGGCGTGTTGGGTGCCAGTGTGATGAACTGTCCTTGAGCACCTTGGGTGCCAAGGTGACGGACTCTCCCTGAGCACCGTGTATGTCAGGGTGATGGCTCTCCATGAACGTGTCGGGTGATGGACTCTGGAACACCTCCATGCCAGTGGAGCTGGAGGATGCAAGACAGAAGTGCTGAGATGTCTCCTCTCCTTCCAGCCACCCCCCTGGACATCCCCAACATGTTTACTTTCTGGGAGGACCGAAGGCCAAACCACCACCCGGAGCCTTTGCAACACATCTCCTTGGTACACAGCTCGCGGGACATCCCCCTGCACAGCGACTACAGACCGGGGCAGATCGAGTCCAGGCTGGAGCTCCTGCAGGCCCAGCTCAGCAGGTGGGCAGGTCCCTGGGGCACAGGGTTGGAGAGCACCCAGGGGGGCTCTGGCCCATCAGCTTCTCCTGCTCACTAGGGCTGGCCGCAGTGGGCTCTGTGCGCAGCAGATGCCACCTCCTGACCCCCTGGGACACTGCATTCCTTGGGGAGGTGGTGGGAGCTCTTTGCAAATGCAGCTGTTTCTCAAACTGTAAGTCCTGGCCCTGGCTGCAGCCCAGCACCTCGTCTGCTGCTGTGCCACCACCCCTGGGATCTGCCGCTTCCGAATTCGATGCAATCGCAGACATGAAACCACCCACAGGCTCATGACCTGAGCCCTTGGCAAGCCTCCTCTTCCTGTTGCAAAGAGCTGCAAGCAACCTCGTGCTCGAGCAAATGAGCCTCATGCACGTCGTTGCCCTCTAAATAAGAAAAAAAAACACATGATTTTTGAATGAGAAGGAAGAGCCCACACCGGAGGTGCAGGTTTAAAGGCCGCAGGCAGCACCCCCATGAGCAGCTGCCTCTCCCGCCCACGGCTGCTGCCCATGTTAAGCTCCCTTCACCGCAGTGCCCACACACGTATTTCGGTGTCTTGCCAATGTGCCGTCCCCAGCACCAGATTTACCCACTCCGTAAATGCTGCCCAGACCGTTGTCTGCAAGGGGGGCTGTGCCCGCTCCTGCCGGAGCTGCCTGTTTCGGTCAAGGACAAGGCAGAAGGAGGAGACTTATTCTGCTTTTCCATTTCCTTCTATTCCTCAGTTAAAAATGGTTGGCACCAACCTGCTTTGCTCCCATCTGTCAGCACAGGCAGCTGGCCTGGAGAATTGATCCAGATTAAAACTAACCATTGCAATTTTTTCCCCCCTCCGGGGTAGTTTTAGCTTTGTTCAGTTCCCTGCTCCAGATCTGCTCCACAAAAGATTGGGCAGAGGGTGATTGAGTATGGCAGGAGAGAGACAACAGGATTGATCTCTCTATGGCCGTGCTGCTTTGAAGCTCTCTAAAAACCTCACCAAGCAGCACCAGGCAAAGCGTCATCACCCTCAGGCAGCTGAATCGGCACCTCCTCCCCAGTGCCTCCGCTGCCCAGCTGTGGGTCTGGCTCTCGTGGGATGCAGTGGGATGCACTGTGCTAACACCGGGCTGCTCTGTCCCCAGGCTGGAGTCCAGGATGTCGTCAGATATTAATATAATCCTCCAGCTCCTGCAGCGCCAGCTGTCCCAAGTGCCACCAGCATACAGCCCCATCTCGCCATCCTCCCACAACCTGGCCATGTACGGCATCCTCCCGCGGAGCCTGGAGCCGCTCACCCCTTGCGCACCCCTGGAAGATGAGGAGACAGCGACGCCGGAGCAGGTAAGGCACCAGCCGAGCTTCCTTCTGCCCCAAGCAGACAGGTCCTGGGGAGCCAGCAGTTCCCTCTAGCCTCCCTTCAGGCAAAGCACAGCCAAACGCTTGCAGGTCCAGGCAAAGCCCAGGGGTCTTGAAATGGGAGTAGATCTACCTTGAGATGCTTCCGCCCAGTGCATTGCTGATTTTGGGGCACAGCCTGCCATCTCCAGCACTACCACATTGCCCCATCAGTAGGGAGGGGAGGGGGTTCCTCTGCTCTGAGGCTTCCTCAGGCAAAAAATAACATTTTGCAGCTTGGAGCCTCATGGGGTGAGCAGAGACTGTGGTTACTTTGGTTTGCTTTTGCCGTAACCAACCTGGTTCCTCCTTTCCCACCAGAGCCCAAGCTACACGGAGGTAGAAAAGTTCCACTTGAAATCCAGGGACTCCTTGTCAAGTGGGATGCACCTCGCTGTAGCATCTGATGAAACCATGACGGTCTACTCCGAGCAGGAGCACCATTCCCCACCTCTCCCGAACCCAGAGCCTCCCCACCAAAGGGCACCAAATACCCAGGGACTCTTCCGGGGCTCTCGTTTCCCTTCCCTCCCTGAGCACTTGGAGACATCTTCCGAGCACCAGGACATTCAGAGACACCTCTCCGACCCAGTGCTTCCTGGAAGTTAGAGATGTGGAGGCTGCGAAGCAAGTCAAGAGGAACCTCAACTGCGAGCTTGGTCAGTTGATGTTGATTTTGACTGCAAGGGTAAGACAGAGGACAATGCCATTGGCTCAGGGGTATAATTTGTAGCTGTCTTCTGCCACCGTGAAAGGAAGCGTAGAGTGGCTGGCTTCCAAGGTCAACGTTTTCCAGCGGTTCCCATAGCATAGATTTCATTTGCACATTATAGTGAACCCAGAGCAGTTCTTTCTTACAGCCAACAACAAGCTGGCTAGGACAAACGGTACCCACCGCCTCTTCCTTGCCGAGGCTTCCTCTCAAGAACGGTGCAAGCCAGGTGAGCCACAGCAACCGGAGGAGAGCAAATCCATGGCTCTTAGCTGCAAGGCCACTTTGCTGTCAGCTCTTTGGAGCAGGGACCATTGTGTTGGTACTGGGCTTAGCCCAGTGGAGCCTGTGGGCATTACAGAAAGGGTAGTCACCAGAGGAGGAGGAGGAGGAGATCTCCACAGTGCGGTACTGGGGGGAGCTGCAGGTGGGAAGCCCAGGACAAGGACAGAGGACAGAAGCTATCCTTGTCCTACTTGACTGCCACTGAGAAACTAAGGGCCAACAGCCCCTGCCACTTCAGCATGCTTCAGCACGAGTCCTAGGGCACTGACTTCTCCGGCAAGGCTGATCGCACCTTGCAAACCCCAACACGCATCTCACAGCTCCCCAGATAAACCCACCTGGTCACCGGCCTGGGCATAAAGCACAAAACTCAAAAGCACAATCCCAGAAAGCCGAAAAGCCCCAGACACCTCATTTCCAGCCCTTCCTCCCAGCTTCTCTCTTTTGATAAAGGTTTGATAGATGCTTCCTCCTCCCCAGCCCTTTCCCCAGCAGACTCCCGCAGCATCCCCCGTAGGAGAAGCCCACTTAGCACTGCCGCCTTGCTGTTCGGTTAGATGCTGTGACAGTCCTAGGCCGCCTGCTCAAGTAATGTATCAAGCTCCCTTTGAGAGTAGTAAAACTGTGAGCATCTCTTTCTCTGGAGTTTTAGTGTACACTTTGCTAATAAAGATGTTTTGGGCACCTAAAGTGGATTATAGCTGTGTTTGTTGGGAGCATCGGTGAATTCATCCCTGGCAGTAGAAAGCACAGGGGCTAATCTGCAAAGACCTCTAAAAAGGCTGTGGTCAAACCCCAGTTGCCTCACGCAGGGAGTGTGGGGCTAGTGGAGCCTATGTGAAGGTCTTACAGGTCAAGGATGAGGCCTGAGGGGGGGCTTTGCTGAGCAATTGCTTCCCGGTAGGATGCAGTTCAGGCTCAGCAGCAATTTGCAAAAGCTATTCTACAAGACCAGCCTGCTGCTGTTCTCCTGTGCGTGAGAAATGACCTCGCAAACACACCTCAGGCAAAGATTACATCAAGAGTCCTTGCAGCGAGCGGGACTTCAGATGAGCACAGCGATACCTAAGCCCATCCTACATCCCTTGCTGAAGGGGACACGGCTCCTGTCCAAATGGGACTGCTCCTTCAGGAGGGCTGGACCCAGGACCA